GGGCTGCGTTTCCCAAAAGCATCGTATCGTAGACCCATTGAAACAATCAACTTAGGCTTACGATGCTTTTGGGAAACGCAGCCCTGGTTGTTTCAAACTTATTTCACTAAGAGTAACGGAGACTACATGCTTCTGCAAACCTTCAATGCTGCAGAAAGTTTTCTGTACCATTCCTCAGATCTGTGCCTCGATACAATCCTGTCTCGGAGGTCTACAGACAATTCCTTGGACTTCATGGTTTGGTTTGTGCTCTGACATGCACTGTTACCTGTGGGACCTTATATAGACAGGTGTGTGCCTTTCCAAATCCTGTCCAATCAACTGAATTTACCGCATGTGGACTCCAATCTAGTTGTAGAAACATCTCAAGGACGATCAGTGGAAACAGGGTGCACCTGAGCTCAATTTTGAGTGTCATGGCAAAGGCTGTGAATACTTGTGATTTTTTTTGTTTTTTATTTGTAGTAAGTTTGCAAAGATTTCAAACAAACTTCTTTCACGTTGTCATTATGGGGTATTGTTTGTAGAATTTTGAGGAAAATAATGAATTTAATCCATTTTGAAATAAGGCTGTAACATAACAAAATGTGGAAAAAGTGAAGCGCTGTGAATACTTTCCGGATGGACTGTAGATGGGTAAAAGGTCTTGAATAAAGGAATCTGGTTGATGGCTGCCAAGACGGCGAGCAGCCATCAATCGGATGTTTTTTCAGTCAGTAAACTATCACATACAACCTAAACAACTAATAGAACTTTTATTACCTACACTTTTAATTTTCTAACACTCAGCCTAGTCCTTTTCTTACACTCTTAACTGCTCATTGCTCTACCTTGAAGATCCTGGACATGGATACTGCTCTGGGGCATGATCTGGACTTTGTGGAGGAGTGGTTAAGTTCCTCAGTGCTTCTCTCCTCTCCTTGCTTCTTTTGTAAGCTGCTCTCCACTTTCTATGCTTCAGCCGCTGTTGTCTTTCACTTAACTCATTGATTCCTTTTTTTTTCCCTGTCTCTACATTTTTTCTCCATCCCTGGCGTTCATTCTGCAGATATTTCTCCCTTTTTTCAGGATCAGCATTTAGGCGTGCACGATACTAATAGATTTTTAAATTGATATCATTAAATCAAACATTCTTTCAGAGCAATTTACTTATGATTTTAGATGTGAAAATCTAGGCAGAACACACATGTGCACACACACAGCTTTAACATGGACATTACTACATTCAACATATGCATGTGGTATAAGACTCTTGATCAAATATAATAATTCATTTAAATTTCTGGATAACTTCAGAACCAAAGTGCTAAAAACACAACCCCATCACAATCTCACAACTTCGTTATGATCAAATAAGTAACGGGGTTGAGTGTGACGGGGTTGTGATTTTTTGCTCAAAATGGCCACTGCTCTAAATGTAGTGAATAAGAGGAGAGAACATGGCATGCATGATATTAAGAAATCATGTATATTGTTGAAATAACAAAGATCATTTTCACAAGTAATAGATATCTATCTTTATTTGATGTAACGGGGTTGAGTCGTTAAGCTTGACAACCACAATATCACAATATTAATAAAGTTATAGTTATAAAAGAAGGTGGTAACTTGCCTGTGTCTGTTCACAATGTTGTTCAGAAGACTTATATGATGTCACTTCCTGTTAATGATGTCATATAAGGATCAATTAATTATTTTGAATGGGGGGAGAATGATTTGTGTAACAGGGTTGAGGGGCTACTGAGGTACGGAACTAAATAATATGATTTTAATTAATAATCATAAATTTACTTACTAAAAAAATATTACCAGCAAAAAAGCACAGATAGATATTTATAAGAATGGCAAAATGTATGGACTTTTTTCTAATTTTATTATTCATATCCCAAGTACACTTTCATAGAAGGTCATGAGGGACATGACAAAATAGGTGGTGTCAACTGAAAAAAACAAGATAATTTCAAATATAAAGATAAAATGTATGTCATGTTTTTAAACCTTATTAAAGGAGACATTTCAATTAATACAAAAAGCTTTTAAACATAGATTTTGGTGACCCAATAGATAAAATACACTTAAAAAGGTCAAATCGTAGGCTACCGGTTTCGTGGAATGCTTCATTTCCTTTAATTCCCACATGGGCTGGAACCCACATAAACTGTACTTCTATTCTACTTTGTTTTAACTCAAAGAGATTTTGAAGGGTTTCTATGATTAAATCTGGCCTTGATTCTGATTTTTGGTTATCAATACTGACTATTGCTGAATATGAATCTGAACAAATGACCGCATTTTGTAGTTCTCTTTCCTTAATTAGTTGTTCTGCTATACTTCCGGGGTTGAGCAATGGGAAATTAAGTTTTGTTTTATGTTTGTTCGTTTTTTTTTCTCAAATAATCGTTGTTTTAATCACATTCAAACATTATAACTAGTGATGGGAAATCGAGGCTTTCTGAACCGTTTGAGGCTTTCATGAAATTGTGCCGAAAAACGGTTCATTACTCGAAGATTTTAACACAGTGCGCATTAGCGACATCTGGTGGTCAGACTCTGTTTCTCCACCAAATCTAACAAAACATAGCGGAGCAGAGGATGGTTTGAAAAGTTTTTAAATCTGTGCCAACTCGTGTCATGCGTAGTCCGGTCAATGGATTCACATATTGATCAATAATATAAAATATACAAGTGTGTGATTATAATTAATAATTGACGTGAGTAGTAGCAAAATATTTTGGATGAGCGCAATAGAGGTGTAACGCGCATTCAGTTTCTGTCTGGTGTTGAGGTTATTCTAAACTATTCTACCGAATCCCAAATAAGTGTACACACACACACCCAGGTCAATGTAAAGTCAAACACAAGAGTAATGCAAAGCGCCGATTTTTTTTTTTTCAAACCAGCTGAGCTGTCCCGACCTTCAGATACTGCATTCAAACGTCATCAATCACGTGGTGTGGTCATTTCGATACAAGCATCGGAATATGAGGTGTTCTTCGTGCCTTTTCAAAGGCTTAGCAGGAGAAGAAGGAGCACAGTGTGTGATACAATAGTGCTTTGAAAACTGCGTCGGAGCCTCGGTATCAATCGTCCCATCACTAATTATAACAATACTACAGAATGAGAACAAATTTAAACAACATGCACATAGGCATACATATCACATGACAAAGTACAAATAAGGTTAAAGGGTTAAACTATATTTGTCATAAAAAAAAACATGTTAATGGTTTATTAGTTATTGGCTTGAGGACCCTAAAATATTTGGTGCAATGGGACAGTCATCAAACATATGCATTTATGAATTAAACACTGTGTTCTTTCATTTTAAAACCACGTGTCACAATATCTCACAAAATAACAGGCAGATCACCGTGTTTCTTTCAGTTGTAAATATTAATGCACAAGGACTGAGAATCAAATTGCAATTAAAAAAAAAAATCACCAGTTTACATATTACTCCAGACTTGACATAGCCTACATTATGAACTGACAATGTTTATCATTTAAAGATAATCTACAGCACCTCTTTATACAGAAAATGATTTCACTTCTACTTCTGAAGCACTATTATTTACAAGTAACTTAGAGGTGATCATAAGGAGGACAAACCCATTGAATCATAATCATCACAATCTATCTAAACATTGCCACACAGTAAAGCAGTACAACCCTAAAATTGAAAAGACTGTCACATACACTGGTCAATGACAATATCACATGCTTTGACAAATGTTATAGCAGGAGCTTGAACATAAATTAATAAATTTTTCCTGTTCAGTTTCTCTGTTGTTCATCTCACATGCGTTAGTTGTTGTCTTTTGTCATTTCATCCATAAGACATCGTTCTTCCCGGTAAAGCAAATCAAAAAACATCCGTTTCGATGAAAGTCCTTGTCCTTCTATGATCTTAAAGATTCTCCTCATTTTTTTCTGATTTGTTGTCATTGCTCCGATTTCATCTATCTGTTCGTCTACAATAATGTCTTCAAAGTGATCTAAAATGGCATCAATATTTTTCACCTTTTGGATAAGTTTAGCTTTGTTCTTTTTCAGAAAGGATACACCTGCAGAATATAGTCATCAACACATTTAATTTATACAGTATTCAAATTTTTGTGAGATGGAAGCTAATTTTCTTCTGCTACAATTCTAAAACTAGCTGATTCAAATGTAAATAAAATGGCTAGCCTAAGATTATGTCAAGGTTATGTGCTTACACTGCTCATCAGTGGATAGACTCGGTCTCCTGTTTTCTGCAGTATAGTCTGGAAGATAAAATCTTGGTTAGTCTTCTTCATTTTCAACTTTTGAGACTAACTGTATGAATGATTTAATTGATCAGTAAAATCTTTAAACAATTTATGTATATTTAACATTGTGCGGTGCTCATATTTTTAGGTAGATCAGCACAAGGGCCCCAATTGTTGCAGTCTAGCTTGAATGCTGAACATATAAAAAGTATCCAATGTCTATGATGATTATTATTTTAGGTGGATTATTGTCATGTCAGTTATTTACTTCCTAAACCTTTACTCCAGTAACATAAACTGTACAGTATATTACTTACCTGTCAGTGTTATGTCACGGCTCCATACAACATCAACCCTTCCTTTCTTGGGGTTTTTCTTTTTGAGGTGTAAACCCACATCCATCACACCATCTGGCAACTTTATATCAAATGTTGGATAGTAATGTTTCCACTGCTTAGTGCAATGAAGTTTTGTGTCCTAACAAAGGAAAGAGAGGGATAATAAGTTTGATTCAAAGACATCATCTCTAAAACTACATTTCAGAAAAACTTTGCTAACTTTAATATTGGATTCTTTGAATTTTTTGAGATGACATACAATACATTGACGGTTTTAACATTTAAACACATTAGTCAGATTGAAAATGAGGTTTTAAAATAGCAGATGATCAAGTTTAGGAGATACACTATCAGTCAGAACGTTTCTCAGAATGTTTCTCAAGATCACAGTATTTTGGCAAGAATTGTAATGACTTCTGTGCATTGATTGATGCTGATGATTATCGAACTTTCCAGCAAAGCAACCATCCCAAAGTATTTTTCAGGGATCGTTCATAGAACATAAGCAACATTATAGATAAACTAAATATGTAAACTATTTGATGCCTAATTTCCCCATGATTTATCAATTAGAAAATCTTTAAAATAAAAAAATTAAATAACTCATGCTTTGAGAAAATGTCATATTCTTATTCCAGTCCATACACTGACCATCGGTTGTATCTTTGGCCTCACTGAAGGTCCATGTTCCTCAACAGGATCACAGGACATGCTGTACACACATTCATATTTCAGCATGCATTCACAAACTGTTTGGATTAATGTGTAATCTTTATGACTTTTTTCCACCTGAAAGAACAGAGAAATGGTATGGTTGTTTATAAAAGTCAGCCAAAGTGAATGAGGTCAAATGGAGGGGAGGGGGGCATTTAAGATGTACTTCTCTGGGGTCCACACTGCGGGGTTGTAGAAACACATGCAGCCTATGTGCTGGCTGTAGGTAGAATAGCATCACTTGGCCGAGCATCTTAGTCCAATGACCCGTAAACCAGTTTTCCTTTTTGGAAATAAAAAACTTGGATGTTCCTTTGATGCTCACTGTGACATGTGTGCTTGTGCTATTTTGAGGCTTCAGAATATCAACAATCTTATTAGAATTATGTATAACTGACATGAAGTGGCAGGCATCCTCTGAGAGAAAATAAAAACACTTTTTTTATATGTCATCTAGTAAATATAAAATGTATAATATAGTGTTATATTTTTATACTAATCAGGATTTTTCTTAAATGTTTGCACTTTGTATTATTCAAAGTTCAGTGTTTATTATTTCTCATAAGATTGCCAACTCACCAATGGAGGTCTCACAGTGAGGTAGTCTGAGTTGAGACAGCTCACCCTGAACACATTTGATATCATACACAGGTCCTGCTTGGGAATAGTTGGCAGGGACTGGACAGTCGTTGTCCTGAAGAACGGTGCTGTACAGCACCTCTCCTTCCCCCTCCATGTTAAAACCAATCTGTGTAAACTCACAATGGAACCAGCCTGCATGGCTGCACTGTAACCTATTTGATTTCAAAGGAATATTGCAAATGAAAGCATACTGATACACTCAACTATCTTATACTTCACCTGTTTGTTGACACAAACCTGTATTTCCTTTGCCCCTCTTGAATGATGACCTCGGGAGTGAACAAATAATCTTTCAGATCTAGCCTCTGTGAAAAATAACAAGAGCTTAAGTGAATTGTAATTTTACTGTCAAATAAGACAGATTTGCATTTGCAAAGAGATCATTTTGACTTACCCTTAAAATGCCTGAAGGGGATTGAGAATCTCCATCTGAAATGTCTGGTAATACCAGATGCATTGAATTATTACTCCTGATCATCATCTGTATCCTGTCTGAAAGCTCCCTCCTCTCTGTAGTTTCTGGTGCAGAGCCACAAATGTAGCATTTGTGTCCACATTTTTCAAGAAGCCACTCCAATATGCTTCTCTGAGCTACAACTGCATCTGAGCTACAACATACTACGACGACATGATTCCAGAATTTCTCTCCAAGAAACTCCAAATTTTCAAGAATCTCTTTGGTTTGGTCCGTGAATTTGTCATCGTGTAAAGTAAATGCAAGAAGAACGGCATGAGGCCCAGGAGTCGGTTTTTCCCATCGAAGAATGCTCTTGGCGTTGCAGATATCAATATCAACCAAGTGCACAATCTTCTTGTTCATTGAACCTTTGAAATTCTTAATCCTACCACTCTCAACTTCGTAACTTCCTCCATCAAAAATCAGGCTAAGAACAGATTTTTCTGTTTCACTGAAACTCATGAGCCAAATCCTTATCTCTGTGAAAATTTCACCTATGTAAAAAAACAAAAAAACAAAATCAATGAAGAGGCAGCTGAATGAGGCAGAGATGGTTACTGAGGCCTGTTTAACTTGCATTTTTAATATTAAAATTTTAAATCTTTTCATTCACAATTGTTGATCCAGGTCTGACAAATGACTACAGATGGTGTCATAAAACTTGACAATGTTAATCTCAATGCCTAAATTACATTTACATACACTGATGCATGCATTCCTAAAAGTGACAAAGTAGTAAAATTTAAAACATTTGAATTTTGACTCATAAAGTGTAATCTTCAAATGAATTAATACATCAGTACTAAATAAAGTCTGTCTTATTAAACAAATCTTACAACATATTGGCACTGTTAAGTATATCTCGAATAAATGGATTTAGCAATATGGCGAATCACTGCATACCATCATCAAGGATCCAATGAATTTCACATTGTAAATTCTGAAAAAAAGTGTGTAATCTATGTCTGTGACCTAAAACTGAAAAGAAATTGAGGTATTCAATGTCAAAAATAAATTTCAAAAATGAAATCTCAGTTTAAAAGCTATTCATTCAGGTAGCCAACCACCAATCAACTTTCACTAAAGCAGGAAGACTGTGATCATGCACCTATGCTAGACAAATTTTACATTTTGGGGACCAGTGTATTTCAAGTAATCCAAGTAAAATATATTCAAAATTAATTGAATAAAAACTTGCGATTGTATTTACCAAAATTCTGTCAATTTTTTAGGGCTCTCTCATAAAACTCTTCGGCCTTGAGTTTTTCACCCTTTACTTCATGAATGAATCCCTGTATGCCACACACCATGCCGTCATCTGGGCTTTTCAGCCATTTAATACGATGTTGCATCATGGTTTTAAGTTTGTCCTCACATAACTTGCCTAGCTCTGATTCTGGTTGCAGCCTCAGACCTTGCATGAAATGTTGGAAGGCCAGTGGTTCAGATCTTTTGTAGTAGAGCTGGTATTGGCCACATAAAAAATGAACTGCCTGCAGATGTTTCTTTTCATTGTAAGCCAATTTAAATGCTTCTTCAAAAAGTCTGTCAGCTTTGAAGCTGCCAAGTTGTCCGTGATGCAGTGCTAAATCTGCCACGGCATTCACAAAAGACGGCTTTAGGGAAATTGCCCTATCCAGATGATAGATGCACTGATCCAGGTATTGCTGTATTTCATCTGACTCTTTAACATTAAACTTGGCTTTGCCATGCATCCTATGTTTCTTTTCCAGGTATGTTTTTTTCTTTTTGTAACACATAGCCAATTGATGGTGTATAAAGGCAGAGTTTGGGGTAGCCTGCAAGGCATCTTCTAGTAGATTAATGGCAATGTCCATGTTTCCTAATTGGCGGAAAAATTTTGCTGTGTATCTTATGACGTGTGGGTTTTCAGGAGACATCCTCAGTGCCACAATCACCTTCTTCAGTGCAGGTTCGAATGTCTTATCTCTGTTATTCAGCATTCTTAAGGCTAACAACAGTAGTAGAACAGCATCATCTGGATTAAGTTCTATAGCTCTTTCAAGCTGTTTTATTGTTGGTGAGTCTGAAGAGTCAGGAGTGTCTTTTGTTGTGCGGTACAGTGCAATAGCATAGCCTGCATTTAAATCACTGTCATCCGGGTTCATTTCAAGGGCCTGTCTAAAGCATTCCTTTGCAGCATGCGAGTATTTGTTAGAGAATTTAAGAAAAGTCCAACCCTTTTCTCTGAGCACCTCAACAGTATAAGTGAATCCTTCAGAAAATTTTCTGTGGATCTTCTTTAACTCTCTCAAGTAATCTTCACATATAGAGAATTCATTCATATGATAATGCAACCAGGCAAGATCTCCATAGGTAACAATAAGAACTTCATCACTGTCTTTGTAGTGTTCTTTTGCAAGCTGCACTGATTTCTGCAGACTTACGAGTGCTTTCTGCTGGTAGCCATAGAGATACAGAACAAATCCAACACTGCTGTAAGCTCGTGTTATTCTTGCCTCGTCAGATTCCAACTGAATCTGTTCCTCGAGACGATTCAGTAAATCATAGAGAACGAAGTCTTCTTCTTCTCTTAGAGACCAAGTAAAATGGCACTCCTGCAGAAGCAGTTTGGTTTTTAAGGTACCTTCAAGACTGAAAACAGAAGGAGAAGCTGATGAAATAATGATTTAAACATTCTATTTGTATGAGTCACGTACTGTAGTTTCTGTCAGGACCACTATCGTCAAAGATGATTGACAATTAGCATACAGTTTGGATTGGCGGTATGGTTCTGTTCTGGGCAAGAACTCCCTGCGCATCCATGCAGCCTAGCATGGATGAGAGCAGGGAGAGCAGCGATACCCCCCCAGGGTAAACAGAACAGAACCAACATAAATGTATTGCAGATATCGTTAAAGTTCAATATTTTATGCACACATTTTAGAATTAGTCTGATTCAAAGGAGAATCAGAAGGCTGAATCCCGACTGACAGAGGAGGAGTTGGGGATGGAGGAGGATAATTAGCTATTGAGCAATGCGAAAACTGCTGATAATACTGAGGGACCTTATATATGAATGCTTAGATAGGTGTCGTGTTCCTATAGGTAGATGGGGATCAACTGAGCGTAATCTGATGCGAGCTTGACTAACGTGACCTGCCAGAACTAACGCTTATGCTTGATTTCTGATCTTTAATCAGAAATCTGCATATGCACAGTAAAGCTCCAGCACAAACAGAGGTGAAAGAAAAGAAGGATGGGGCGAAGGGAAAGAGAAAATTTCAATCTTGTATGCCTTTCTTTTTGGCTTTTGTATAGTTTAATTCTGTGGTAGAAATTAAGAACTTGAAATATGGCTGACTTGTCTGGCTAAGATTTTAAGGCTAGCATTTTATGAAGCATAAAACATGTTTGTGTATTTTGACAAATCTTTGGCTAAATTATTAATTGAAGGCCAATTTTTAGGGTAAGTGTGTAAGCTTACTTGGACCATTTTAAATTCAGGACTTTAAGCTGCTAGTCAGAGGCAGTGGTATTAGAGGGCAGGACATTATTGTAGAAAGCATTTGATTTGGACGAAATAAGTGAGTGCATAGTGAGTTTTCACAGAGGAATAGCCTCTAGTTAATTTTCAAATGCTAAAACTTTTGCTAACACTTTCTATGAAGCCTGTATTTATGATAAATTATGGATTCTTAATGCATTATAATGCATGCATAATGCATTATGTGTGTGTATGTATGTATGTATATATATATATATATATTTTTTTTTTTTTTTTTGTCTAATTAGACTGAAGCATGATTAATTAAGCTCATAATAAAACAAAGACGATTTTGTCTCTCTACTGTCTCCTTTCTCCCACTCCCTCTCCCTCTTTTTTTTTTCTTTCTGTTGTTAATCTGCGTCTGCTGGGGTGATGGAGGGCCTCCCACTGCTCGCGC